GAGCAAAACCAAGCAACAATGTACAACAAAACAGCAACAACATCAAGCCACTGACAAAGAACAAATTAAAATATACCAAGATAGAAAAGCTTGTGTTTTCCAGTTTAGCCTGTTGGGGCACCAGGCCCTGTCTCCAATGTCCACCCTCATCATTCCCTGGGGATCTCTGTTCCGCTGCACTCCCACAGTGCTTTGCGCCTCAGTGTGGCAGGGTCAGATCAGGTGCAATTCCCACACTGTGTCACTGGTGTTGAGTTGCACCTTCTTCTTAGCTCTCCCAGGGATTTTTGAAATGCTTCTCTCTCAAACATACCCAGTAACTGCCTGGGCACAATGGGCACACGAGGGAACAGAAGGCAGCCAACACACAATAATAACCAAGAGGCACGGTGCTCCATGGAGTGGAACAAGGCCCTAGCAGGCTGCTACACATTTCCACAGTGAAGATGCATGGCGCCGCATTCTGAGATGAGATGTTAACAAAGACACAACGCAGCCCAAGAGCGCACAGAGAAGTGGTTCAAAAAAAAAGAAAAGGCTGGCCCGAAAGCTGGCCATACAGGACACACGCTTGGTCTCCCTGAGAACTGGAGCTACTGAGACGTCTGTCAAGGCCTGCGGGTAGCCCCCCATTCACCTTGTTATTGGAGGTTAGTACAACATTGTCGGTACTCGCTCATTTCAGCTGTTTCCAAGGCAAATATATCTCAATAGCAATAGACAAATGCAAAGTTTTTTGTTATAAAATATTTTTAAATAAAAAAGGAAATATATTGAGATCTATAGATTAACAAGGGAACGTGGGTGGTGGCTAAGTGCTCCCCTGTTAACTGGAAGGTCGGCGGTTCAAACCCCATCAGCCCCTCCATGGGAGAAAGATGAAGTATCAGATTCTGTAAAGGTTTACAGCCTCAGCAACCCAATGCAACAGCCCTCCTCTGCCCTACAGAGCTGCTCCAAGTCAGGATTGAATGGGAGCGTTTGGGTTTCGGGAGCCTACAGATGGACCAATGTCAACATTCAGTTTAAGAAATAAACTACTACCCATCGGACATTTCCTTACACCACCACACTCTGGTCCAATGCTTCATCCACAGCACCACCAGGACTCCCTGAGTGAGGCTGAGGACTGTATAAAAGGTGAGAAAGGAATAGGGAGAGAGAGAAGTCAGGTCTATCCTTGAAAGACTCACAGGTTCCTTTCAAATACTTGTAGAATTTCTGGCCTTCACAGCGCTGCGACAGAGTGCATGATAATTCTATTGAACTAGATGAGTCCTTTCCATTCTGAAAAGGAGCAAACAACACACTCTGATCAGCTGCACAAAGAAGTGTCTCTTAGTCGGGATTGCAACTGCTGACATTTCTTTTGGGAAATGACTAACATACCAATTACCTACTGTGTTCCAGACATCATGAGGGGCCCTTTAAACACATTCCAACACCCAATCCCCACAGCAACACCAAGCAATGCGTGGCTAATTCCAAAGACCATGGTGATAATAGCTAGTTGGTTAAGCATTCAGTAGAGGGCAGGCATTGTATGGCTTTACATACATCACTCCGTTT